CCATCTATTTTCTCTCTACAACATAAGATAATTATCTTATGTAAAAGGAGAATAATAAAACGCATATATATATATATATATATGATTCGTTTTTTTTTGCAGTAAGCCTAATACGACATTGTTTTGGGAGTAAATGCAGATAAATTATCTGTAGTAACTGCAGAAATATTATTATGATATATATATGGGAAAAACATGTTTCCGGTAACTTGAGATAAGTTTATCTCCGGCCACCCCAAAATTACGTCGTTTTTTTATTTATTTTCTTATATTAATTGATTCACCTTTGAATGGTTATGATTCCCTTTTTCTCTCTCTTCCTTTATCATCATTGATCCATCTTTGTACGGTTATGATTTAGTAGCCGGAGATAAAATTATCTCAAGCAGCTTGAGAAATGATAAGCCCTATATATATATATATGGGAAAAATGTTTCTGCAGTTACTGCAGATAAGTTATCTGCATTTTTTTCAAACGACGTCGTTTTGGTATTGAAATCTTAAAAAATTATAAATACAAAGACTATTATAACCTTGAAATAAATTAAAATTACAAACATACCATGATTTTCACCCAAAACGACGTCGTATTGGGCTTACTGCAGATAACTTTTCTGCAGTAACTGCAGAAAAAGCGAACCCTATATATATATATATATAGGTAAAATCATTTAAAGTTTTACGTACAGCAACGACATGTGTATGATTATGATTTTTCACATTTAATGCTTTCATCCTTTGTATGGTTATGATTCCTGCATTTAATGCTTTCAAATATATATATGGCAAATATTTGATTGTTGCACGTACAGTGTAAGAACTCGCACCGTTAATTAAGAAAATTAATCAGTTAATTATGAGTTTAATGAGATAATTCCATAATTGACCCTAATAATTATATTGAGGCTCTAATAATTATAGTAATTGAGTTATAATGCTGAAAGTCGCTTTTCTGATGAAAAGTGCAGATACTGGTTCTGCTAGTCGGTATAAATGCGTACCAAAAAAATATCCCGAAAAATTATAATAAGTGCATGATAATTACTAGAATAATATGTAGGACTTGTAAAACAAGTTTCAAGTTAAAATAATGAGAACTGGTGCCAGAAACAGGTATTGGCTATGAAAAGCGCCTACCAGAAAGGTGCTGTGAAAAATATAAGAAAAATATGATAATTCTTCTAAAATTGAGTAGTTTAAGAATCCTGAGTTTGGGATTAAAATGCTAAGCGTAACTATTTTTGCTAATACTGCGTGGTTTGAGTTAATGAGACTATATATATAACTTTTGGGCTCAAAGCCCTAGGTTAATTCTATTCCCTACGTGAGTGTTGGCTGGTCAGGGGTGTGTGTGCACTGTTCCATTGCCACTCTTCCCTTGTTCTTGGCAAAATCCCATCAAGAGACCACTTTTCTTGGTTGTTCTTCTATCTAAACACTTGGGCCTTGTATGAGTTGGCCTTGGGAGGGTGTGGAGTGTACCATTCTGAGTTTGTGGCCTCTTTGGTGAGGTGAAGTGGCAGACTTTGGGGTTGTCTTCTTGGGTTTGGGTTATGTAACCTTGTTCTTGGCTTCTTGAGCTTCAAGAAGCCACCTTTTGGCACAAAGGGTCAAGCTTGAAGTGTATTTTCGTAGCCTTGTGAAGTCAGAACCTTGGGGTTGCATTGGAGGCTTCCTTTCTGCTTCATTTTCGGAGTTTAGAGCTCTTGAGGTGAGCCATGATCACCTTGGTGTCATTTTGAGACCTAAAGCTTGTTTAATCAATTAAAAAGAGGAACTTTAACCTTTTGAGTAAATGAATGTGTTTTTGGGTTCATAACATGTTGATGGTTATCTGTTTAGGGAGTCATTGGACTCCCAATCGCTTTTGGATCCTTAAATTTGGCATTATGCAGAAGTTGGCTCGAATTTCTGCATTCTGTTGGAGAAGTATTCGAATACTTTCCGTGTAGTATTCGAATACTTGTCCTTGGTAATCGAATACTCCTTGCAGGAGTATGAGAATACTTTTCTGGGAAGAAAAGTATTCGGATACCTTTGAAGAAGTATTCGAATACTGTAAGGTATTCGAATACAGTGAGGTTTGGTATTCGGATACTGAGGTATTCGGATACTGGGGAAAAAAGTATTCGGATACTTGTGAGTATTCAAATACTTTAGTGAAAGTAATCGAATACTTTCTGGAGAGCTGGAGTATTCGAATACTACTCGTGAAGTATTCGAATACTACTCGTGGAGTATTCGAATGCTTCTTGCAGAAACAACATGTAATGAGTTAAAATGAGTAAGAAAGACGTAATCACTTGTGTAATCTGAGGTATGATTATTGATGATTAATTATGGTATGGGCAGATTGTGATTTTGCTGCTTGTGGGCCTTGAGCTTGTGTGGACTCTTGGCATTGGATAGTTAGCTTGCAAGGTAAGCTTTCGTGTCCTCGGTTTAGCCATTGTGTAGTTCCATCGTGCCCCGTGGGGGAATGGTTATATGCATGCTGTGTTACATGCTTTGATATATTTGGAATGCTGTTGAGCTTTATGTGTAATGACTTTTAATATGCATGTGTTGTTCCATCTTGACGGTAAGCCTGAGTATGTGGCGTCATACAAGACGGTGATCCTGGGTGGATGCAAGTAGCGTCTTGCACTATGTGTGGGTATTTGGCGTATATAAATCTTGCATTTCTCTGGCCAGTAGAATAGTATTGACACACATGACATGATTATCTGCTGCATTGCACTGTTTTAGAAATGATATTGATGAACTGCTTTTGAACTTATATTGCACATGTAAGTGAGCTTGGGGTGGAGTTGAGTTGAGTTGAGACTTATGTGGGTTTTGTTGCCTTATTTGGGGTGAGCATGGGAGTTGTCCATGCCACTATGTTGTTAGTACTTTTGAGTTGAGTTGTATAAACTGTTAGATGATCCGGTCTACGTTTTGTAGTTCCATGACTAGAGACTCATACTTATGTTATTCTAATTAATGAAGTATTTCAGTTAGCTGTTTATTGCAATGTACATACAGGCGATGTTTTGAAAATGGTTAAGTAATCAAGTTGGTAATGATTAATGTCATCATAATTGAAAAGAAAAAGATATTCTGCATTTTTAATTAAGCGCAGCTTAATACGATAGTGATAACATTACCAGTTATATACGGGGTGTTACATACAACAGCTGCAGAAATGTAAAACCCATATGGATCAATAGTAATAAAGGAGGAGAGAAAAAAAATGTTAAAATAGGTAGTTACGAAATCATAACTGTTGATTTACCTTTGTATGGTTATGATTCCCCACATGATATGATCATTTGGATTTTCACACGAGAGGATCCAGATCCATAGGAAATGGATCATCTCATGTGGAAAAAAATATGATATGGTCATGTGGAATATATATATATATGTATGGAGAGACTTATAAGTCTTACACTATAAATGACAACCGTTGATTTCTGTCCATCAACGACTGCGATGGGAAGTAAGATTTAAAATCTTTACTCTGGAGTTTTTTATAAGACTTAAAAGTCTTACACTATAAATGACGTCGTTTTGGGTTGAAAATTTAAAAAATTATAATGAAAAAGACTATTCTAACCTTGAAATAAATTATAATTACAAAAATACTTTGATTTTCGTCTCAAAACGACGTCATTTTGGACTCAATGTAGATAAGTTATCTACATTGACTGTAGAAAAAGCGAACCCATAATTAATATGTGATAAATATTTCGAAAAATATTATATATTTCATCATTGAATTAGAGGTCTTTGTATAATTAGTAACTCAAATATATATATATATATATATATATATATATATATATATATACAACTAACTTACGAAATAAAATGAAAATATAAACAGAACCTATTATCCTTTTTTAATATGATATTTATCTCCAATATTATGGTTATACTTATTCCTAATAATATGCATAATAAAATAAAATTTGTCCAAATGATTTTAGTATAATCAATTTAAAGTCAAAATATTTTTACATTAATTTTCATATAAGTCGATGAAATATAATATAAATAAACTTTCAATTCAATTGCAAATTTCGCAAAAACCTCATCATGCAGAGATATTTAGCACCACATGCTATGGTAATATTTTAAGAACAATTGCTTAAAGTATTTAGTTTTAAAATGAGAACATGTGACTTGAGACCGAAACCTGGATTGGTATGACTAATCTTAATTCAATTATTGTTATGCGATTTTGTCTAATTAACATGCAAATTAATATATAAGTAACACATTATTATTTGTTTTTTTTACTACAGTGGTAATGAGGGCGAAAATTAGACAAATAAATTCAAATAGTTTAAATAATCACAATAAATAAAGAGTAAATTTTCCTAATAGCTAAGGGACTAATTAAGTATCCTCCAAAATTAAATTTGATGAACAACCAAGCATGCAAAGTAAACGGAAGTATATGTATGCAACATTTAATCACTTTAGCCATTATAAAATTTTGACCCCCGTGATTGGATTAGATTAGAAAGCAACTTGCCAATTTGTTCATTTATGTAAAGAAGGCAAGTAGTGAGCCATGAGTGAGAGAGATAAACTTCTTAACATAGTTATCAATTAATTAAAAGTTTAAAACCTTTGCCTCAATATGAAGGATGAAAGAGGTTAGATGGTATCAATAGGTATAACTCAATTAGCAACACAAAATGAGTTGATGAGGAGAAAATCATGTTAGATTCCTATTAAATAGATCTTTGAAGAGAGATATAAAACTTTAACTATGATTAAACTTTAATTCAACTCGAATTTAAAGAGTTGAAACTTATAAAAATACGGTAATCACTCGCTGCTTTGAAAAGGTAATTAACATCTATATGAAAAAAAGACAAAGGTTAGTTAGTTTGAAAGATGAGATTAGTGACAGAAACGGTAGCGTTTTAGGGATGGTTGCTGGGATAGAGTATGATTAGTTCCCTCTCCTCTACTCTATGAAAGTAAAAGCCCAAAGCACTCTATTCAACTAACATATGCATAGATTCTTTCTTCACCCTATACTAGTCTTCTTCCCTTTTCCCTCTCAGTCCTTTCTCTCTCTTCTCTCTCTAAAAACACAAAAATCAAAAGCAGAAGAAATCAGACGAGTTGGTTTTCGCGTTACCCTTCTCTCTTCCCTGAAAGAAAATTGCAGAATCAGTGGAAAGAAGAAGGATCATAGCAAGGGCATTTCAGTAATTTCGGTTCTCTCTCTGTCCTCCATGTTCACATCCACTAACTTGAGTACCAACAACGACACTCCCTTCTTCTCCGGCGGCGGCGGCAGGTTTTCATTTATGGCCGCGGCGGCGGTGCCATCCTCTCCGGTGGTGCTCTTCACGGCCTTGGCTGGCCTTGCTCTCGTCGCTGTCATCTTCTACAGTGCCAGTAGGTAAAAAACCGAAGAAACCCTCAAATGAACAAATTAGAGAGAGCATCGCAATCGCAAAAACCCTAGCTCACTGTCTCACTCAGACCTAGATGATATTGTTTTCGATTCCGATTTCTTTACACTAAAAGGGGGAAGAAAAAGTGTGCGTAGAAGGAATTTATAGATGAATCCCCTTAGAAAAAGTCTCAATTCATCTTCGTCGTCTTCGAATTCCTCTCCTTCTTCATCATCGTCATCATCGTCGTCATCTTCGTCGTGGATCCATTTGCGTTCGGTTCTATTCGTTGTCACTTCTTCCTCACCAGCTTCTTGTTCGTCCTCTGATCGGTGAGTTCTTCTTCTCTCCTTTTGCTCTCACTTGATTTTATTTTTTATCTTTTTCAGCGCTAAGATTTCTGTTACTTCTCTGTTTATTTCGTGCCAGATCTCCACTTCTGGGCATTCCCAATGTTGCTATCAGTGTCAGCTTAGGTTGATCGGGTTGTGTGTTTTGCGTTTTTCTGCTTCGCACTTCCATGTTTCTATTTTGGGTCTCTTTTTTCGGCAGCATTTCGGTCTGCTTGTGTGTTTCGCTGGTAGAATGGTTGATTTGTTGGGATTACAATTTTTTTTTTTTAATAATAATAAATTAAATTTTCCTGATTTCTCCTTCAAAAGGAGAACAAGGGTTGATCTCTCTTTTGGTTGTGGTGGGATATTCTCGTTTTTTTTTTTTTATTATCCATTTTTGTTTTTGTGGGATATTTCTTCAATCTGAAGTATCTTTCCTCTTGCCTTGAACTTTTTATCCTCTGATTCCCATTTCTCATGTCAAATCAATTGCGTGTGAAGAAATCACCCGTGCTGGGGGAAAATGTAGCCTAATAGTGATCTTGATCGGATATCAAAACCCATGTTCTTGCCATATATCTTGGCTTGTGTCTTCCTGAGCTGGAAAGGAAGATCTATGCTAGAGTATATTTAGTGATTGTGTTCATTTGGAGACTGAGGAATTATGTTTTGTGGACCTAATTAAATTTTTGGCGTTTAAGAAGATTTAAGAAAAATATTACAGTTGTAGTCTGTCAATCAACAACCTATTGCGTCAAGGATTACAATTTTGAGGCTTTAATAGTCTAGATTTTTTCGGGATACTTATCTTAGGGATGTTGATGTGTTCGAGTCTTCAAGGACAACTTTCTATACACTATGTCCTCTTCCTTTTTCTTTTCTTTTCCTTTGAATTGCATGCCCATAAATTTTTACTTGGAATAGTTTGTTTCCTTCCTCCCTCTGGATAAATGAATTAATTACTCAAGTTAAAAATTTAAACAAACAAATGTGATGCTGTAATCTTGTGATTTGAATTTCTGTTTTGATATTCCAAGACTCTGTTTTGTAAATTTAGCAGTACACGGAGCAACAAACATGTAGTATTATTGATGTCAGTTGTGAAGTGCTCATCGGACAAGAACTCTGATGTGTATTTAAGTAGACTGGCGCTTCTCAAACTTGATGTTGTTCGTTTTCATATGTAAATTTATAGCTGCATATTACTATATTAACTATGTAAGTTGAGGGCTTCTATCACTGAATGATTTTAATTGTTTTAACATTAAAAAAATAAGATAGTTCTACAGAGAAACATTTTACTCCAGAATCCATAAATACTAATGAAATCAAAATGTATGAAATCTGTGACAGAGCTGTAATGTACATAGATATGTAGTTGTAAAATACTAAAATTTGTTTATGCTTGCTCAGTTTTTCCCATGTAGAAAGAAGAAAGCTGCTATTGGCTTGAAAAAGTTTATGCTCTGGAACAATATATTTTTCTGTGTACTTTTTCACTCCCCTAAATTTCTTAAATGATTGTTTGCTGCCTATTCTCTATTCTAAACTTACACACAATTAGTAGTAATGAGTAATTCTTTGTGGCGAAATTTCAGGGGACGTCTTAAATCACCATGGTCACGCAGGAAAAGAAAACATGTCCTTTCACCTCAGCAATGGAAAAGCTTGTTTACCCAAGATGGGAGAATTCGGGACGGAGGAATTAAGTTCGTGAAAAGAGTTCGCAGTGGAGTGAGTTTACTAATCTGTTTATCTAGATTTTAAATTTGTGTTTTTGGTGTTTCATTTTGAAAATTGATTACATTATAAATATCTGATGCAGGGCGTCGATCCTAGTATTAGAGCTGAAGTTTGGCCATTCCTACTTGGAGTGTAAGCATGATGTCTTTCATGTTTCATTTCTGAATGATCTTTACTATATATTTTCTTACATACCTGGGATCTAGGAAGTATTAATTTTAGACAGACATGAGATACAAAAAGGACATACACACGAAGCAAAATTTGCAGTTTCCTATTAATATTTGAAGTGTATATTCTCTCGCTGCTCTTTTGATATTTTAAGTGTCTGTGTTGTAGCTTTAATTATCTTTCATTTTTTAATAGCCAAAACTTGATGCTTAGTTTCTTGTTATGCATTAGGAGGAATATTGATTACCTTCTCCTTTGTTTATGTCATGTTATTACAATTTTTTTCCCATTCTTTTCTACATGTATTCATTTGCTTAGACAAACTTTTATATGGTTACCAGCTATGACTTGGACAGTACCAAAGAAGAAAGGGATGTTATAAGAACTCAAAATAGGTAAGCTTACAAGTTTGATCCTCAAATCCATGCTTTAACCATCATGTTTCTCCAGTCTTTATTTTATTTTTTATTTTATTTTTTTGCACTTCCCTCTTCTGTTCGTCCAGTTTAACATAATGTTACTTTTATGCTAAATCTCTAAACACAGAAAGGAATATGAGAAACTCCGCAGACAATGCCGGCAACTCCTAAAGCTCAGCAGTGGGAGCTTTCAGTTAAATGAAATAGGTGGAATCAACTATGACGGAGATAGTGGAAGTGTTATTCAAGATTCTGGTTCTCCTAGTTCTGAAGATGCAACGAGTGCCAGAGAATCCCTTTCTAGTGAGGAACGGAGCCCAGATGTTGAATATTCAGATGATCCATCTAGTGCCCTGTTGCAAGGAGATGATGCTCCTAACGTCAGCAATGCTGATGCCTCTGCACTGGATACTGATTCCACAGATTCAGACTCCTCGGAAGGTCCTGAGGTAATTCAGTCATTTCCTTCTGACGATGGCCTGGAAGAGAACAATTCCAGGACAGCTTCCAAGGGAAATTCTTCTCCCTCTCAAATTGAAGCCCCATCAAAACTAACTGATGAAGATTTTACCACATGGCAACGGATCATCCGACTTGATGCAGTACGTGCCAATGCAGAATGGATGCCATACTCCCCCTCTCAAGCTGTTGTACCGGACAGTAGGGCGTTTCGCTCTGCTGAAGCTGTTGGCTTGAAGGATTATGGTCACCTGGATGCCAGCAGAATCTTTCATGCTGCTCGACTAGTTGCTATTCTTGAAGCATATGCACTATATGACCCTGAAATTGGCTACTGCCAGGGTATGAGTGATCTGCTATCTCCTATAGTTAGTGTTATATCAGAAGATCACGAGGCTTTCTGGTGTTTTGTTGGATTCATGAAGAAGGCTCGGCAGAATTTCAGGCTTGATGAGGTGGGTATTAGGAGGCAACTCGATATAGTTGCAAAAATTATCAAGTTTAAGGATGCCCACCTGTTTAGGCATTTGGAGAAGCTCCAGGCCGAGGATTGCTTTTTTGTGTATAGGATGGTGGTGGTATTGTTTAGAAGGGAGTTGACATTTGAACAGACTCTTTGCCTTTGGGAAGTAATGTGGGCAGATCAAGCAGCCATCCGGGCTGGTATTGGGAAATCTGCATGGAGCAGAATTAGGCAGCGTGCTCCTCCAACAGATAATTTATTGCTTTATGCAATAGCTGCATCAGTGTTACAGAGAAGGAAATTGATAATTGAAAAGTATAGCAGCATGGACGAGATCATTAAGGAATGCAATGGCATGGCAGGACACCTTGATGTTTGGAAGCTTCTGGATGATGCCCATAACTTGGTAGTCACTCTTCATGACAAAATGAAAATAGAGACATCTTTCCGATGACTGCACTTGATCCTTAAACAAACTAGTTTATAATATCGTCAAAAGATCCTTACTTTCAGGCTACCAGATTTCTCCTCCGCATCTCAAAATAAGCACTGCCAATGCTGAGTTCATTACAACTAAGCCTGCTGCTTGCTTAAACCTGCCACTGTTTAGTTACAAGACTTGGTTTCCACATTGTGGCTAATGTAAGGATTGGAGTTAGCCAGATTTGTGTGGCATCTTTTTTTCATTTTTTCTCTTTTCCGTTAGCTCCATCCTTTTCTTTGTTTTTCCTTTTTTAATTCTGATTTGAGGCACATCTCGAAGCACCTTTACGAAAAGCAGGTGGGTAGGTGCATGTTACCGTTAGAGGAGGCCGAGATATTGTCGACAATTATGAATGTTGTCCTTTTTGACTGAATCTGAACTCATGAGACCTTTGACTATTTGAGCTGCTGACCAAGTTGTATGATCATGTGAGTTTGAGAGGATATCTTCGGTATATTTAGTTGCTTTAGGGCTACTGGTTAGCCCTATAAATTAATGGCCGTATGATTTGGCCAACCGGCCTAACGCTTTACTTAATGGTAACCCCCTAAACTAATTGCCACATTGTTTGACTACGTAGCTCACTTAACCGGCCTAAGACTTGATTCTGGATTGCTCGTGTCCTCTCATTTGTTCTGTTATACACCAACTTGATCCAATATAAACATTCACTTCCATAAGCGCTCTGCTATAACTATATTTTAACAGACTAATTTTTTTAATTATCATTTAGCCATATGTTATATTATTTAAATTGTTTACTAGGGATAATTTAGACCAGGTCTTAAGCGGATTTGACATATTTTCTAAACATAAACTTGAGCTTGACTTAAAACCTGGTCTTTTCAGTTTAGTAAATGTTTATAGGGTAATATTACTCTCATGTAACATGAGAGTAGTTTTCTCATGTTACAGAGAGAATCCAAGTAGGGCCCGCTGTTTAAAAGCAAAAAAAAAGAAAAAGAAAAAGAAGGGGCACGATTTTCGAAGTGAGAGAAAAGGAGATAACTATTTCATGTAAAATGAGAGTAGTATTTCCCATGTTTATATATATACTCACACACACACATGAAGCCTTTTTGATGACCGAAAACCTGGTCTTTTCAGTTTAGTAAATTTTTAAAAATATCTTGATCTAACTTGTGTAACAAATAAGCTTAGTCAGGCCATAGGCTCCCGGGCTGCCTTCCTAAACACCTAATGTTTGATTTTGTTAAAAAAATTAATAACAAGATAATTATAATTAAATAATTATGTAAAAAAATTTAATTTACCATGGATCAATATTAAATCTTATTCCCTACCCCTAATGTTTGTATGGCAAGTAACTATTTCACTTTCCTTATTATATAAGAACCTTTCTATTGATTTTCTACCAAAAAAAAAAAAATCATATTAATCCAACTTAAAATAAAAATTTGGGTCAAATTAACAATGACATTCATCCCCACCTTCCCTAACCAAGTATAATGGGGAGTGGATTTTTAACAATAGCATTCATACTGACTGTCCCCGTAAGGTTCTTTTCTCCACTCTGAAGTGCCTTCTTTCTTCCTCCTTCCGTTGGTTTCCCTTTTATTTTCTCCCATATGGAGTTCCTGCTCGTAGCCATAACCCTTTTTCTAACAGTTTTCTTGCTTTTTTAAAAATAAAATAAAAAATCTTTTGTTGATTTTTCTTCTTCTCAAATACAATGTTTTCTCATCACATGTATTTTATCACTTTTTCCACCACCATTGAACCTTAGGAACATACCAATCTCAATTGACAACAACATGCGAATTGCAGCCCATGGATATTTATGTTGGTGCTTTTAGTAAAAATCCCATGTTAAACTCTGCTGTATTTTTGTATAAAATTTGCTTGTCCTTTGTTAACACATTAAGGTTAAGTTGTTCTTCAAATTTTTGGTTGTTACTCAGCCAATCATATTTTAAGCATATTATGCTCTAAATTATTGATGAATAGCAATGAGTTGCAACCTAAAAGCTGCATACTCTGATGCCAACCAAGGGGTAGTCGGCTAATTGATGTCCTGAACTGAGACAGTGAGACAAGAATCATCGTATCTTCGTAAGATATCACCCCTCAGGGGGATGAATACATTTACCGCTCAAGCAAACGAGTTAGGATGATATGACTTTTTTTTTTTTAATAAATCACAAATATTCTCCACGGAAAGCAATTCTATTCGAAACGAATCTAAAATTAATGCTTTAAACCTCTCGGTACTGATAAGAATCAAACAGATGTTCTCACCTCAAGGATAATATGACTTTAATTTAAGAAAACCAGCCACCGAGAGCAAAACTGTTATTACATTGTACCTGTACCTGAACACGTTGCAACAAAGCTCATTGTTCTTAATATCTTGCGCATGCATGCTAATAAAAAAGAAGAAAAGAAGGGCTTTGCCAGGACACAAATTAAGCCAGAGTAAGTGTGATCCATAAAACAAAAGACGACGAAAGAAAATATTAATGAAGCAACAATGCTGAATAAAACAAAGGAAACTTTCCAACATTAGGTTCTTCAACCATAATGACACCAGTACCAATGCCAAAGAAAGTTGGAAAACATTGGCTTACTGAACTCTAGTCTATCATCCAGTTTCACTACTCAGACACCATAAAGAAACAAAACACAGTGCTTTAAATGACCCTGTATAAATAGTTAACAGACCCTTCCGCAGGGTCCAATGTGATTAAGGGACTACTCTTTCTTGGTGTAGTGTCGAACAGCAAAGGCTAAGCCCAATATCAGGAGAGGAACCAGGAACTGCAAAATCTTGATCACAAATTCCGGAGTCTTGTCAGGATTGTACTGAGATTGCTGAGGTGGAATGTAGGACCGTTTTAGCGGAACAGTTGATGCATCAATCTCACCAATATGGTATTTTTCCATCATATCTCTAGCAGAATCACTGTGTCCCACATCTTCAAAATCATTCGTTGCATCTTTCCCTGTAATCCATAAAGTGGAGTATAATCAATATGATTATCCTTTGGTGCTTTTATTAATACTCTTCAGATGATAAAAGCATACCTGTTGCAGATAACAAAACCTCATCACCTCCGGGATGATCCTCCATAAAAGGGGTGACGTCATACACCTAATAAGGTTTAAGCACATAATTTTGTTAAGTGGCAGAAATTAACATCATAACATACTAAAACTAAAGTTCCTTTTTTCTTTTTTGGGTCTTAAACTAGAACAGAAGTTAAAAAGTTATTCACGTAGCTAATAATTTCTTTGAACAGGACCTTTGGCCCAATGGTTACCACTCATGCCATTATACATGGGTTCTGCACTCTGCAGGATGTTTGAATAGCCTCGAATTCGGCCATCACCATCCCAGGTAAGGTTTAAAATAATGAAAGGGGATTTCCTTCTTCTAATCCATATGCCAATAACTTGTAGAAAGGTTGGATTAGGCAAAGGCAGCATTATTCCATCCAAAGAGCAACAGGGTTATATGAATACCATAGCCAATAAAAGCATCTAGCTAACAGATAGGAGGTCTTAGGAAGAACACCCATCGCAGCATATTTGACTAACATCTTGCTGGTTTAACTTGGAACATAAACAGCTTGCATAAAAAGGAATGCTACCATGTTATCACTGTGAGAGTGGTCAAGATTCTCCACATTATGTTTGGGAGGGGATGGGAGGGGAAGAAATCAAATTGGTAAAAGGAAACTTTCCTTCCCAATGTTTGGATGTTTAAAATCCTCACAAGTCCTCCAAATTGGGGGAACTTTAAAATATCCATAAAAATTAATAAAGGAGGGTTTTGAGGGGTTACATGATAATCCCCCATTTTCCTCCCCTCCCTCAGTTTAAGAAACTCCCAAACAAAAGGATTTTTACTTAAAACTTTCTTTGCCAAATCCCACGTCGCATCCAAACATCAAATAAATCTGTAGGTTAATCGAAACCTTTCATCCATCAATAGATATTCAATTGAGAAAGCCCCACAAAATACAAATGCATATAAAAGTAACTACCTGGAGACTGAAGAGAAACTCCTGGTATTTTTAAATCTATTCCCCATATACATTCTTTTGACACATTGGGTGTGCTAGTATTTTTATCCGTATCAAAGGTATGGAATTCAAAAACAATTTAAATAGTAATTCACGTGATTAAAGCTGCTGCCCAATTAGTAAATGCACGTAAAGGATGAGCAGCTTCTTAGACATAGTTATCAATCAATGACATAGACTAACAAAATGGCAAATTCAAACCAAACAAAGCATCAGAAGAAGTCACAGATGACAGTGGTGACCCGTATATACATTGTTGAAGGAAACTCTCTTGCTAGTGCTTATTAGCTAGTACAAGTATATGAGAACAGGAACCTTCATTTGTTATGCATAAGATCCAGACGTAGCATAAACAAAACCCAAATAATATTCAGCCTTAAAAACAGGAAACTGAAGTAGAAGACAATTTTTTTTAAAGCAAACTTGAGCATAAGAAAGCGAGTTAAAACAAGTTCTCTAAAGATGCTATTGCAATGAGGAATACTCTGCGAAGATGCAAATCAACAAGGTCCGGGAACTAAAGCACCCTTAATGAAGCATGATAAATAAGACATGCATGAGGTTCAATGTCCAAAAGATCAAACTTTATCATCAAAAAATGAATCAAATGAAGCATTTAAATTCCAAAAGTCAACAAATTTTCCATACAAGTGTCCACTATTGATTATGATCAGCAGACGTGATAACAAATTAGATCTATACATCTCTAAGCTCGAACCGTTCAAATACTGAAATCAGAAAACTGCACAAAGCATTGCTGAAAGCCCTGATTTTTTTATAAAAAATAAAAATAAAAAATTGTCCTTGTTTCTCACAGTGTCAATCACTTCAGATAATCAATCATTCACGGAAAATCAGATTAAGAATAAAAAAATAAAAAAATCTTGACCTTTCCAGAAATGATAAGCCAGCAATCTTTGGTCTGATTGTGCTTTGCCACCTCTTCGAACGAGTGAACTTTTGGATCTGAAGCCATTTTTTTTCACTGCACATAGTACACAGAAAAAAAAAAAAATCAAGTCAAACCCACAATTTTTTTTTTTTTCTAGGTATGGAGAAAGTGAGGATCTAAGGAATCAAGAAAGGGAACAACCATCAATAATCTCTGAGAGAGAGGATACACAAAAAGAGTAAAAACGTGATTCTGATGAATGAAAAAGCTTAGAAATTTAGAATTGAACCGATACCAAAGTGTGGGGATAAAGAGATTCTTTTGGGTCAACAACAACGCTTACAAGAGAGAGAAGGTTTTTTCTTTATTTTTTTTCGTTACTTACCAGATACCTTTCTCAGTAACAGTATCGTGACAAATCTCTCGTTCTGGTGAGACTGAACTGGCCACGTTGTTATATACACCAACGTTTTCATCGATCCCACAAACAACCTCATACTTTCTTCAAATTACAGAATTACCCGTGAAGATAAAAAAAAAAAAATTATTAATTTTTTCTTCTTTGGTTTCTAAGATGTTAAGTTTGGTCGATAGCAAGCCTATCCGAAATTCTAATTGCTTAAATTAATCCGATTTTAAATTTGAATTTATTTATCCTTTCCGAAATTGTAATTCTCAGAAATTAAATAAACCTTTTAAACAGGGATGGAAACTCAAAATCACTAATTAAATTATAACAATATCTTATTATTGATTCACGTACTTACTTTATGATCATCATATTAAATCTTGGATAATTAAAAATATTTTGTAATGATTCTTCAAACAGATTCGGTATCATTCGTTAACAAACAATTTTTGTTGGACAAGTGGCTTCAATACTCAAGAGGAGGGTGAATTGAGTTTTACAAAATCTTTTCGCAAAGTGTCTTCTTTGATATTTTAAAGACTATTTCTTCAATAAAGTTATTTAATGAGGAAAAACCTAAGTGTGAGATCAAGTGTAGAGATTAATAAAGTAAGCAAGTGAATGGATAAAGACAATCTAAAGATGCAATTTCAATAATAAAGTAAAGAGGTAAAAGGTTAGAGAAATTACAAACTAGATATGTCCTGGTTCGGTCACCACCATCGTGACCTACATCCAGACTGAAGTCGCTCGATCAATTCTTGTCACTAACTATCAAGCTTGATGGTGCTTGACAAACCTCTACAACCTTTCAAGACTTCAGGCTCTTGATACCTCACAATTTTTCACTCCAAATTTACTTAAGAATTTGGTGACCTCTCAAGTATAGGGTTCACTCCCCTCTTAAATCAAGAAGTAGGATTGAGGTGATTAAAAGTGACTAAGTACTCTCAAAGTACATATTGCACAAATTGAAGAACTAAGAGATGTATAGCTTCAAAGGAAAGATGAGCTCAAGTGTATGCTTTGAGTAAAGTAAGCAATTAATAAACAATAATGAACTAGAATGAGTAATAAATATTCAATAAATGATCTAGGGTCGTGTACTGTTCATCATGACTGATGTGGGTATTTATAGTGACACCTCTTTGAAAACTAGCCGTTTCTAGCCGTTTTATAGCCGTTGTAATCCGTACATATCCAGATATTTATCGGGCTCATATCCGGATATGGATATCCGGATATGTATATGCGGATAAGGATATCCAGATACTATATCCGGATATTGATATCCGGATATTCTCAGTGCAATATCCGGATATTTCATGACAGTATCTTTTTGCTCGAATTCTGAGTTTCTTTACTTTTAAAAAGGTTTCTATGACTTGTAATTCATGACTTTGATTATGGAAACTGTCTTGAAGCGTTTAAATCATGTAGGTACCTTTTCCAAATCAATTTTGGATAAATCAAACCTTTTATTTTGACACTTCTTTAAGGATGCATGCTTTTGAAATATATGAGTGATGAATGACCTTGAGCTCATGCAATGCTTAGGCATCTATACATCTTTACACATGTTTCCTAAGTCCTAAATAAATATACCATTTGAGATTTTGGACTTGGATTGATGTTTAAGACTTGGTGCTTGCATTGCTTCACATTTGCTTGAGTTTCTTTTTGGATGTTGCTTCCTTCTTGATCATTTCTCTTTGTTATCATCAAAACTATGTTGACGTGGAATCATCAAGTGTACGTTGCATTCACATCATCACTTTGATTCATCACTTTTGACAGTAGTACACTACTTTTAAATCCATTTTAAAGAAATGTTAATAGTTAATGAGTGATTTCTTATTTTTTTGGTTTTTAAAAAATATTTTATTAGTTTATTTCTTATAATTATTTTACAGAACAAAATTATTCTTGATGAGCTGTGTTTTTAGAATAAAATTTTGAAAGCTGAATAATGATATGGGGTAATGATGGCGGCGGAGACAACAATGACAACCTTAATGGTAGTTTGAAATGTGAGTAAAAATTCATTAAAATAAGAATAAAAAATAAATAAAAAATTAAAATGTTTATTATTTTTCTGTTCTGAAAATGAATTATACAAAATAAATTTTAAAAACAATTTCTTTTGTGTTTTAGTTTTAAAACAGAAATCTATAAAAATGGAAATAGATCCTTTTATTAGTTAATATGATTATATCATATAAGAAGATACTAACTATTTATGAACATATCAATGATAATAAAAAATGAGAAAGAAAAATATTAACATAAAAAATGATAAAATCATAATCATTGATTTGCTATGAATCACGTGATCATCTAAACTAACATGGAAGAAAATCCATTCTAATTAAGAAACAAATCACCACACCACGTGTTTTGGGATTTTTTTGTTTTTTTTAGACTTTTGTTTGTTATGTTTAAATTGAAGAGTATGCGAAATTGTTATGCATGTCACCCGAAAAGATTGTTCTTCTTTTTTTCTCTTCTACCTCAGGTAATTAGGCGAGTTTAATTTTTTAAAGGAAAAAAAAACTAAAGGATAAGTTTTAAAATTCTCATAATCATTTTATATACATACTATTATTTTTCTTCTTTTATCCATTAAAAATAAGAAGGATCATTAAGTTTTTTTTTTTGATACAGAAGGATCATTAAGTTTATACTTTATAAAGATCTAAAATTTAGCTTTTTCTTTATCAGCATATTTACAAGTTATCAATCTTTATTATTTACTTATTTTCACAATAAATATTTTAGAGGAATATGAATTTGAACACTTTAAACTTATAGGCTTATAGCGTGTATCCATCGCTTTAATCTGATATATATATATATATATATATATATATATATATATAATTAAAAAATGTTTGACAACTATTCAGTTACTATGATCAGAAAAACATAAAAATTGTTGAGATATATAAAATCGTTAATGTAGCCTCACCCAACAGTTTAAGCTTTTGGGTTGAATTGGTTCTTTACATGGTATCAGAGCCTTGTGTTCTTTTGGGTTGAATTGATTCTTTACAAAAAATATTACAATGGTTTGCATCATGTACTTAATCATGTATCTAAGCATAATAAACAATATATTTTCAAACGACATATAAGACATGTGTTCAATTCCTGCTGAATGCATTTTTGGGGAGGGGGCTGAACCTTTAGCCATCACTGATCCCCCGCACTCCGGATTAGTCCCATAGCCGGCTCAAAGAGTCGAAGCTCGTGGGAATACCGGAGGGAGCCAACTCGCCTCGAAGAGATAATTAGAGTTGGATAACTCCAAAAAAAAGACATAAAATTTGTATCACACCCCAAATGCTAAAACCAATTTCCACACACCTACAAGTGTCATAACTTGAGTTTAAGGAAAAAGAAAAAGAAATCTTGACTTTAAGAAAAGAAAAAAGGAAACTTGACTAGTCTGCAACTACCACAAAAACAATGGGCTAGTCAAACTAATTACCAAACCAAAGTTAGTCGAACTCTAAAAGAAGGATATATATATAGGACACTTCATGACTAATAAAATAGCGATTTTGAAGAAAAATAAACAAATGATTCTCGTATAATTTTTTATTTAATTAATTATGGTCTTTTATCAAATTTTTGGGCAAAAAATCAGAGCAGACTAGTACAAGTACATCAAATAAAAGTAAAAACAAACAAAAACAAAAAGGATTTTCGCTTTACGCACTTGTTAAAAATTAAAAATAGAAAATATTAAAAAAAATTAATATTTTAATAAAATCCAAAAAATAATATAACACACATAGTATCTTATATATTTGCATAACTTTATCATTAAACTATAGTTAGTCTTATGTTATTTTATAAAAATTTATGCTCTGATGAGGATATATTTACAAATATTTAAAAATACTTTTTACACAACAATTTGAATAACTAAGAGCTGACATTATAAAACTTGGCCACTAAAAATTTCTACTCTTTAATCTTGTTACTTCACTTAAATATTGAATATACAAATAGTCTAGACAAAAGGCCCAAGTGCACATCTAACACCACACTTGGGTCGACAAACAAATATATAATGAATAAAATCAAAGCAGCCCCTGGCTTTACTAATGACCTCTTTTAATTAACAATTCCTGAGTCAATTCAATTGTAATGTTAGTGCCACACGAATAATAAAAAATGTTATTAAATTTGATCCGGTAATTAACTCAGTCAAGGTAATAGGTTATTGATTTAATCAGTGAATTATTGGTTCAACTGATTGACCCAGATAAATATAAGAAAATCTATATTTTATATTTATAAATCAACAAATATGCTTAAATATATGTGAAAAATGATATCAGTTTTAAATATTTTAATATGGAAAAGACTAAATCAACACTATTCTCCAACAAACAAACATATAATACTTATTATGTTCTTAAGCATTTAACATCTATCACAAGTCTACAACATTAATTCTTAATGCTATCAAGAGAAAACAAACAAATCAAAATGAGTTTTGCCATTTAGGAAAAAGGATTTAGCCTTTTGGGAGAAGCATTGTACAAAAAATCGCAAGAAGTTTTCTTTAGAGGGGAAGGCCAAATTGGCTAACCTATCAGCGCAAGCGTTTCTATCTCTACCAACATGTCGAAAGACAACATGCCAATTTTTATTGCACCAGCACCTGATCCTGTTCACAATTTGGGATTGCAGGCCATCATCTAAATTGCTAGAAATGGCATGGATGGCAAACAGAGAATCACTTTCGACCATCAAGTAACGAGCTTTCCTCTCCCACTCAATGCATAACCCTATGTAGATAGCCCACAGTTATGCAATGAAATGAGTGCAATTGCCAATCTTATAGATAAACCCATCGATCCAACTCCCATGTAGAGGTGGTAATATGGGTCGAACTCGACTGGTCAACCTGCCAAA